AGTTTGACTTCCGGGATTTAAATCCTGGATCCACCACTCACATGACATATGACCTTAAGCCTTAGCATCCTCATGTTTTTTAAGATTAAATAAAATCCTGTATTTAGAGGATTTAGCCATTAAAAGGGCCCGTCATTAATGCTAAATAAATATTAATCTTCAAGATGACTATTGGGTTGCCATGCAGCAGCTCCCTCTAGTGGTCATAGGACATATGTGTGAGCACAGGTGCAAGGCTAGGTAGGATCCTGGCCGTCTTAGCTAAGGGTATGCAGTAGCCAGGCTAGTCAGGCATTGGATAATGGGGCCCCAAGTTCCCTAGATTCCAGTCATTCACATATTACCTCCCCAACCACTGTTACCTTTATTTACTAATTTTCCTTTATTCCCTTTTAAACCGTGTCACTATTTTTAAAGAAATCCTATCTAATAAAGAGGGAACATGCTAATTGACCCTCACACAATTGCAAAGATGGTGGCACACATTGCCAATAAGGAGGGACTATGCTAATTGATTTCCTTGCCCTCAAAGATGGCAGCACCCACAGCCAATAAGGAAGGAATATGCTAATTGACCGTTATACCCTCAAAGATGGTGGTGCCCAAAGCCATAAAAGGGAAGTGCCCAGTCCCTCAACCCCCCAGATGCCCAGTCGATGCCTGAGGTGCAGGCAAGCCTCAGATGGAGGCTGCCCAGATGTCCAGGGCTGCCAAAGGCTTAGGTAACTAGGGCCAGCCGAGGCTTGCGCTTCTGGCAGTGGCAGCAGCAGAGGTGTGATGGGGCATCGCCTTCCCCTGATCACTGGGTCGCCTCCAACCCCTGAGGGCTCCTGGACTGTGAGAGGGGGCAGACCAGGCTGAGGGACCCCCTCCTCCCCCCGCCTCCAGTGCATGAATTTTCATGCACAGGGCCTCTAGTCCATTATAATAGGAAATGTTACAATTTTCAGTTAAAAGCCCATAATCAACTTTCAGAAATAGAAGCTAACCACCAGTAGATACAAGTGAAATACAAAAGTTTGTTTTCCTGCATAATGTGGTGAGAAGAATTGGAAGGTTTCTCCCCCCCCACCCCCCCCCCCCATGATGAAATAAGGCTCAAATAATTTGCTCCCAAATTTACTCAGGAAATAGTTGGCATGAATAATAATAATAACAGATATGTTTCTGTTTAAAATCTATATTTATTGATTTTAGAGAGAAAGGGAGAGGGAGAGAGAGATAGAAAGTCCATGATGAGAGAGAATTATTGATCAGCTGCCTCCTGCTCATCCCCAACTAGGGATTGAGACCACAACCTGGGCATGTGTCCTGACCCGGAATTGAACTGTGAACTCTTGGTTCATAGGTTAACATTCAACCTCCGAGCCACATTGGCCAGGCCAGATATGTTTCTTGAATCCAGACTTCCTGTCAGGCTTGGTGATAGGCACATATTTTGCATGGATTAGCTGATTTAATTTCCATAAATCCTCTCTGAGATTTTTTTCCAGATGAGGAGACTGGGGTTCAGAATGTCTGGCCAGTGGGATGTGAAGGAAGTGATGCATGCATGCTAGTTTTCAGCCTGGCCCTTAATATCATCTTACCATCTGCCAGCTCTCACTGTGCCCTCATGGTGACTATGGAGCTCATGAATTTCAAATGAGATAGCTCCAAAATGGAGCATGGAGTGAGAATGTGAGTGAAGAATCAAATTTTATTGTGTTTCTGCAGCACAGACTTGTTCTGTTCTGACTAGTACTATAGAAGCTTAGATTCTTTTCTTTTCTTTTTTTAAGTGTAAAAATTCTGAGACATTACTATTGAGGATAATTAGTAGAAAAAGGAAATGAGGAGTTGGAAATAGGAAAGAGAATGAAAGCAGGTGGCAGAGAAACTGTTGAGAATTTATGATGAAAACTTGGGAAAGAGGAAGGAGTCTGAGAGACAGTAGATCCAGGTCCTTGTGAAGGACTGGGAGGGACAAAAGAGATGAAACAAGTCAAGATGTTGTCTTTTGAAATTAATGATCAAGCAGAGATGTGAAGCACGTTGCAAGGGCAAGAACTCAAGCACATTTTCTCCTCCTCACTGGCTGACATTTAAGACAGATATGGCCCTAGCTGGTTTGGCTCAGTGGATAGAGTGTCGGCCTGTGGACTGAAGGGTGCAGGGTTTGATTCCAGTCAAGGGCACTTGCCGGGGTTGTGGGTTCGTGTAGGAGATAGCCTATCAATGATTCTCTCTCATCATTAATGTTTCTATCTCTCCCTCTCCCTTCCTCTCTGAAATCAATTAAAAAATATATATATATACACACACACACACACAAACAGATATTGCTCTAAATGGCTGGTCATGGTGAATGACCGCCTTCCTTCTTTCTTTCAGAGCACTCTGCTGCTAGGTAGGTCCCTGTACTTGATGGGGGCAGTGCCTGCCCCCTCGTGGTCCAGAGGGTTCATGATTATGGTGAGAACCACAGTCTTCACTTGCCCTGGTGGATCAATTTCATACAACTCACTGAAAACCTTTGATATTTGCTCTGCATATTCTTTGGAGTCCTTAGTGGCCTCTATAGACTATGAGAGGAAATGGTACTGAACAAGGCAGGCTCACAGAGTCCAAGATTATATATCAATTGAATAAATACCCCCCCTCCCCCAGGTTGCTGAAGTCTCTGGTTAATTTCAAGAATTCTGAAAAAGTTGGTTCTGACCATTTTTTGTTGTTGTTGCTGATTTTCTAATTGCTTTTATGTAGGAGATAATTTTTAGAGGTATTTAAAAAATATATATTTTTAAATTGATTTCAGAGAGGAAGGGAGAGGGAGAGAGAGATAGAAACATCAATAATAAGAGAGAATCATGGATCAACTGCCCATATTGGAGATCAAGCCTACAACCTGGGCATGTGCCCGGACCGGGAATCAAACCTCGACCTCCTGACTCAAATGTTGATGCTCAACCACTGAGCCACACTAGCAAGCAAAAGACCTTTAGTCTGCCATTTTCACTGACATCCTTCTAGGTAGATTTGTGTGTGTGTGTGTGTGTGTGTGTGTGTTAGTGTGTGTGTATTAAAATGTTGTCACTCTTTAAAAGTCATGTGTTTTCATTAACCTGCCACCTCTCAGACTGTTTTGTATCTAGGGGAGACTTATACTAGTTAGTTACAAATTGAAATTGTCAGGGGAGGGGAAAGACCCATCGGTGAGCTATAGGAAGAAGTCCAGGGAACAGTGGGAAAATGGTCCAAAATGGGCAGGGGAAGTGTGTCTAGGCAGGAATGCAATTTGGTGCTATGGTCATGGGGCAGCAAGACCAATTCTCATGATCCTACACTTATCCACACTGACTTTTGGACCTTTGGCCAAGGAGGACCCTCAGTCTTGACCTATGCCTGCCCCAAAGGAACATGAAGGTAGTTAATGCTTGGATTCTCCCTGAGCCCAATCAGGCCCTGATGGCTGTCTCTCATTCAGGAAGGTCCTCTGTACTTCAGGTCACTAAGTAGACATCCACTGTGTATGCAGTGTGTATGGAATTTACTCATCCTGAGCCCAAAGATCTCAGCGAGTGTGAAAGATGCCTCATCCTTTAAGTCCTCACCAGGAGACACATGCTGGTTTCCTACAATTGCAGTCCTGAACTCCGAACACTGGAACTGTCCTCTTATGGTGTCACGTTGGTTGGTGGCAATAGTAGGTGCAGACAGTGGTGGGTCTGGACATGGTGACAAATATTTGACAGGGACTGAGAAACACTACCCTGAATCTATGCTGTCTCCCAAAGAGCAAGGGGCAAGATTTTCTGTGAAGTCTGGGATGTTTCAGTTCTTGATTTGCCTTTTTGTCACTCTCTGACCTTGTGCAAGTCATTCTTATAAACTGCAAGGCTCAGTACTCTCATGTGTGGAGTGAAAGTGTTGAGCAAGTCCAATAAGGATCTCAAACTATGATAGCATAATTTATTTTTTATTTAAAGAGACAAACTTTCCCATCCTGTGTAGCCCTGTTCTTCATTCATGCATTCAGTTTTTCATAAATCTTATCTACATTAACAGTCTCAGTATCCTTAAAACCTTCCTCTTCTTAGTTCCTTTAAGTCTTATTCCTCCAAAACTATGGCACTCACCTGCGGCCTCAATCATCTTTTCATATGCAATTCCAATGCCCCTTTTCTATCCCTACCTTCAAGCCTTTCAGCAATGAACACTTTGGACCAGTTTGTCTTTCTTCCTATACTTCTTTTTTTAATTCTAACCTGAGGATATGTTTTTATTGAATTGAGAAAGGAGAGAGAGAGAGAGAGAGAGAGAGAGAGAGAGAGAGAGAGAGAGAGAGAGAGAGAGAGGGAGAGAGAGAGAGAGAAATCCTGATAGGGTATCAAACTGCAACCTTTTGGTGTATGCAACAATTCTCCAACCAATAAGCCATCTGGCCGGGTCCTATATTTCTCTCCCCCCCCCCCTTTTTTTTTCTTAAACCTTAACTTCCTCTTGCTGTGAGAACAGAAAAGAAACCAGTATGACTAGATGCAAGTAGCAAAGAGGAGTGATAGATGAACTGTGTATCTGTCAGTTTCCTGGACTCTCTCTTGGGGTCGCCAAAATACTTTTGAGCAGCGTGGCCACAGCTAAAGTCATAATCTTCTTGCTGGAATCAACTCACCCTCCCACATTTCCAGTTACCTTTGGGCTCCCCAACTTGAGACATGGACAGGAGCCCCTGTCCTCATCTACACCTATCCAAACCCACCTCCTGAACATTTCTCAAATCTGCCATTTTTACTTCTTGTGTGGTAATGTTGCCTGGAGGGTTACATCTACCCCTAACCTCCTGTCCTCCTATTATAAGGGCCCCAGAGTAGCCACTCTGAAATTCACATTCGTCTGATCATCTCTTGGTCCTGCTGAAGATCATAAAGATCTCCAAGGTAAGGTCCCAACTCAGTTCTATGGCTCCAAACACCCAGGCCTAGAGCCCTCCAGTGATGGTGAGGAATGACAAGGCACTCTTTGCAGACAAAGAGCAATTTTATTTGGTGAGGAATATGCAATGTAGTGGGAAAGTGGGGGGGGGAAGCAGTTTCCTTGGAGAAAAGGCTGTTCTGGTCCCCAAACCATGTCCAGGACATAGATAGCCTTCTGTGAGTCCTCAGAAGCATCAGGAAATGGTTCTGTTGGGAGAAGGCCCCGATCAGAATGGTGTCACTGACTCTCATTGATATTGGTCATCGCCAAACCCTCAGAGAAAGGTGGGGAGGTTGAGACGCTGGGGCTAGGGGTCTTGTTTCAGACACAAAGGGAGCCCAGGACTGGGATGATAAGGCTTTTTTATGTATGTGTTTGAGTGAATGTGTGTTTGTGTATCCATGGACACTTGTGTGTGGAAAGTTTGCATATGTATGCACATGTATGAGTGTGCTGGTGTGAAAGTGTGTGTCTTTGTCTGAGTGATCATGTGTTTGGTTATGAGTGTGCATCCATGATCATGCATGTTTTTGTTTGCAACTATGTCTCTCTATCTCTGTCAGCATTTATGTGGACTTTTCTGTGCAAATCTGTGCTTGTCAGTTGCTGGGGGCTAATTCCAGCAGGTCATAAATGCAAGCAATTCATCAAAAGGTTGGTGGCTTGAGGCTTCAGCAGGGCTGAAGATACATATTATTGCCTGCTGCCAGACAGCTGAGGGCTTTTCCCCAAACCTGAAAATCTACATGTTATTACCTGTGCTGGCCAAACAGCTTAACAGTTCCCCCAACCTGATATTTTACTGCTTACCAAACTTTACCTTTGATATGTGTGTTTGCTTTACTATAGGGAAAAATGTGGGAATAAAAAGCTTTGGGCCGGGAGATTTGGAGAACTCAGCACTAAAGCTAAGCTTCCCTGGCTCCCCCAAAATGCATTACAAATTTATATTTCATGTCTAGTATCTTTATTAATTTACTCACAACCCCTTATCAAGATTCCTGAACCCTTCTAGATGCAAAATAACACCCTGGCAGTCAATGTGAGTTGTTTGTCTCTCTCTTTGGATGTTACTGTCATAGCCCATGATGTCCCCAAGAGCAGAGCAGTAGCCCCCAAATCCTGGGGAGTTGGGAGCAGCACTCACAGCTCAGCAGAGGCCAGGTCCTTTTCTGGAAGGCTTAGACCTTGACGACAAATGTCAGCCCATGGATCAGTTTATCTGGAAAATGAGAAAATAACCACTGAAGACCTGAGTGATCATCTCAGTGAGAAGGAGTCTGGGATATTTAGCATTCCTCCCAAGGCCTAAAGTCAGGGAAAGGGAACTCTGGAAGTATGAGCAAGCTCAGGCTGGACTTGGCGGGACAATACCTCCTTCCACCAACCAGCTCACTTGTTCTCAGTGTCAAAGCTGATTGGGGGGATGAACGGGGAGGAGGAGAGACAAGGCTTATATAATACCTCAACATTATCTGCATAATTCAAGGCAAAAAGAAACCATTTTTGGAGAAGTTGAGGTTGGAGGGATCTATTTGTCCCATGGTATGTGGAGACAGAGCTCCTTGGGGGCAGGCACTGCTCCTGCAGCAGGGGAGAGGGCTCGGAAGCAGGTACTTACCGGCAGTGTCATGCACCAGGGTCAGGTCCAAGTTGCTGAGAACTGAATTGAGCAGAGGGCACACCTGATCCAGGGTGAGAGAGGGGAGTTAGACAAAGTGGTACCTGGAGGGGGACTCTGGGAGCAACATCGTTTTAGGATGGATTCTCTGGGGGGTAGATTGTCTATTATTTCTCTGTGTCTGAGACAGTTTGTTTCCAAGCATTCCCACAGATTTTGCTTGCACCTCCAATGGGCAGAAGGAGAAATCGAAGGCCTGTGTGTGAAGTGTCCAACCACACAGTGAGCCAGGGTTCATTCTGACATGACGTCTGTTTCTAACAAGGTGTACTGGTCTGAGAGGGCTGCACAGCTGGCTAGAGGAGGTGCCCAAAGCCAGACTGGAAGAGTGCTGTCTGCAGCCATAATGGAGGTGAACTGGGAGCTTCTATGGGCAGGCCAATCCATTTCAGCTATAGCATGGACACGCTCAGGGTCTCTCCCAGAGCATGAACCAATTAATGCATTTGGAGGGTGGAAAGGAGAAACATGGGTCAATGAACACATAGACACAAATGGAATTTACTTATCAAACTGAAGGGCTCAGAAAAGCTCACCCCCGAGGCCTCTTTCAGCTTGAGAAGCCCTAGGATCCCAGGACTAGGAGCCCCCACTTTACCCACTTACCTGGTGCTGCACCAGATCAGGAAGGACCTTAGTCAAGACCCCGGTGAGGTTGTCCAGAAGGTTTTGAATGGGGAGGGAGCCAACTCTGAAAGAGAAAAGCCATGGGCAATGCAGGGGCCTGGGGTTGGTATGGAGAAGCTTTCTGAGGGGTCACTGGGCCCATCACAGTCTCAGCATTAAGCTCCTGAAACTGGGCCTCATCCATCCACACCCACATACAGGCAAACACCAAGGGGCTGCTCAAAGGGAGTGACACTCTGCACAGCAGTGCACACAGTGGTACATGCAGAATAAATATATAGTTCCATTACATAGCACATAATCAATGAGACTTTGTAGGGTCTATAAATGGATGAACAGTGCTTTGTGTGTAGTTGCCATGAAGATTTAATGAGATGATATATGTGAAGCACAATATATATGTGTTCAGTAAATGTTAGCCATGATGGGGACAACTCCTGCCATATTGTGCATGACTCAATCTGGTGACAAGTAACTGAAGGAAGTAACCCAGGTAGGCTTTGTAGCTATTTTACCCCTTACCAGGACTCACACTTATTATGTTAGTGGGCTATCAATCCACAACTGCAATGTAGCTAGATATAGAGTTTGGGAAAATACTGTCCAAGTTTATCCAGGAAGCCCTCCACCTCTCCTGATTCCTAAATGAAGTTTGACCTCAGATTTCGTGTTGCCTGATCCAGCATAAAATTGGTCAGCCCAGCTAAAGAAGGGACAAGTCACTATTTATCCATCCATTTACTCCCATCCATCCATCCATCCATCCATCCATTTTCCTTCCCTCCTATCAACCTTCTCATCCTTTCATTCTCCAACCCTTCCATCCTCCCCTAGTACATTCTCCCATTTTTCTATCTTTCCAACCATCTATCCATCATCCCATCCTATTGTCTCTGGGCAGGTGAAGCCACCCCTCTGGCCTTACCCATCAAGCAGGGAGAGTTCCAGGCTGCCTGGGGAGTGAGTGCAGTCTCCAAGAACCAAGTGAATCCTCCCCTGTTCATTTCTCACAGCTAATACTTCTGCAGTGATGTTGAGCTTCACAGCCAGCTTCAGCAGATTTCTGACAAGGGGCCTGCAGAGGAGATAGTGGACCCACCACGTCCAAGGAGGCAGAGGCTTTTCTCCTTGCCAGGAATGCCAGCCTCGCCCCTCTTTAGCTGTACTCATCTCATTCCCCAGTAGGGAAATCGAGGCTCAACCAAGTCAAGTAAGTTTCCCAAGTGACTCTGGGTCACTGACCTAACAGCAAACAAACTGAACTTGGGGGCATATGTCTGTTAGACTCCAATGCTCCCCCTCCCCGCTTTTTGGCTATCCATGGTCGTCAGGGTCTCCTTTGGTGAGCTACCTTCCCATCCCTACTTGGAGCCTACTCACATTTTCACATTGAGGACCAAACCCAGAGGGATAGTAACGTAGAGACGATGGCCATCAGGGCTCTGCACAAGGCCAAGTTCCAGCAGCTGGGGATTAATGACCTTCACACTGCACAGGAGGTGAAGGGAGAAACATCAGCCCCAAACCTAGACATCACCTTTAACCCAATCATACCCATCCCAGAGGTGGAGCTAACCATGAGGTGGGATGGGGGAGACAGGAGAGGGGTCTTGTGGCAAAACCACATGGGTTCTTAGTTACATCAGTCCTCCCCAATCTCTGCACTGGGCCAGATCCTGACACACCCAGGGCCCTCTCCTCAACTTGAGTCTGTGAGGTGTTCTAGAATAGAGAGTGAATTATATTTTCATTATGTCTGGATTGCATGTGCAATCTATATGCCAGTCCAGAGCCTTACAAAGAAAGGAGCCACCCCATATTGGTTGACTTTATGGAATGATGAGCAGGTGAGTAGATAAATATATGAATGGATGCAGGAAAGAATAAGTGGTTAGATGGAAGGAAGAATGGACAAATAGATAGGTGGGTGGGTAAGTGGATGAGTGGATGCTGTATGGGCAACTGGAGTAAGTTTTTAACAAACATTTATAGTTGGAATCACTCATGCTGCCATGACTTTCAATGGCGGCTAATTAACAGTGTTTGTTGTGGAGACTGAGAAGTAGGAAATCAGGGAGAATGGAAAGATGATGGGAGGAAGCCTCTTCTCTGAGCCAGCCACTGTGCCAGGTGGTTGCATCTTTTCCAGTTCTCCAACAGTCTTCCTTTGTGGATACCATAGTATTTATCAATAGATAGAGAAACTGAGTGGGACTGAGAAACCCAGGGGGACTGAGTGCCTGGTCCCAGGTCTCCCAGCAAGTACACGGTACATTTCGAAATCAAACACAAGGCTATCTGACTGTCTCTAAGTCAAGGTCAAGCACCTGGTGGGTAAGAATCTTGGAAATTGCTTTAATCCAGCCCTATCAAGGACCCAGGCTCTGCCAGCTCATTGCATGAAGCTTCCCACTATTCCTTCTTGCTTAGTGAGCGCTCAAATGTCTCATGGGAAACCCGTATGAAATCATTCCATGGACATCACATTGACAATGTCATTGGGGAGAGTGGTTACACTTCCTTGCTTACATCAAAGGCCACCTGTGTTCTAAGAGATTCCAAAGGTGAGAACAAATTTACCACCAGGTAGTGGGAAATGCCTTGACTTTAGAACTGAGTAAATTAGAGTTAGATCTCTCACTCTGCATCACTCTAGCTGTGTGAGCACAGGCACCTTTCTGTGTTTCAAATTTTCTCTCTGTGGAGTGGGGATTATTAAATCAACCTCAGAGGATTGTCATGAGGATTACGGATGACACTGGGGACTCAGGTTATGCTTCAGGACTGAGGGTAATTGCTAGTTCAGGAGGACTGGTCTTCCCTGCCAGACTATGAGAAGGGCCTCAGACCAAGTTCTGGCCTCATATTCAGTCCACCCATCTCTCTGCCTGGGGAAAACAGATCTCCAACAGAGGTTCTCTGATGGGAACCAGGGCCCTACTTTAGGGCTACTCACTCAAGGATGTTGTCCAGAAGAGGGATCATGGAAGTCAGTCTCCCAAGCAGGCCACCAACCAGGTTGCCAGAATTGTCTCCTTCAGCCTTCAGGATGTCATAAAGTGGAAGGTTTGTGAGAGTTTCCAACAGATCCCCAGAGAGGAGGGCATTGTTGAGAGCTGGAAATGGTTAGAGGGGTCCTTAGGGGTCAGATCTGACTATTGCAGATCCTCAGTCACTCTTCCCCATTCATCCCTGCCCTCCATGGTTGGACACACACACACACACACACACACACACACACACACACACACACCTGAAGGAGATTGTCACAGACTCTCACTTACCATTTCTCAGGCTTCCAGCAAGATCCTTGGGACCTGAGGGCAGGTCCTGACCCAAGGGCAGGGCTTCCAACAGGGCTGTAGTCTGGGTCAGCAGCCCACAGAAGACAATGAGGCCCCCAATTTGAAGCATCTTCTCTCCTTAGTTTCTGTGGATAGAAGGACAGGGCCACTGTGGCATGGATATCAGAGAGAAATTTATCCATTACCCACCCCTGGCCCTCAGAACGCTAGGAAGAAAATAGCAAGAGCTGACACTATTCAGAATTTCCTGTGCCAGGCTTCAGGCTGAGCTCTCCACACTCAGTAACTTTTTCCTCTTCACCACACCCTAAGATGTGGCTCTAATCACCTGCATTGCTCAGGTGAGGAAATGGGAGTCTAGTGAGTTTAGGTGACTTCTCCCAAGGTACATGTGAGGACAGGATTTGAAGTTAGATCTGTCTGACCAGGAGAATTCTGTTAAATTAAGTGTCCATCAGATTTACTCTCTAATTGGCTTGCTTGCAATGGCTTGAATTATTGTCACTAGTTCCTACTCTTTGGACAAAGCAAATGAAAAATTAAACAAGCCAAGTAGCTGAGGAACTGAACTGCTTTGCCATCATCCTCCTTAAATCTTTTGGTTGGGGTCTGCGACGGTTTGTGGAAGCCCTTGTGAGTCACAAAGATCAGAGAGTATATGGTCATAGCCACCATCTCATCCAGACCAGTGCTGGGGAAATCCTGGGCCAGTCAAAATCTTCATTTCACAAGCAGAATCAGGGGACCAGAAGGAGGATAGTGATAGCCTCAAGTTGGCACAGCAAATTGCTGAAAGAGCTGGGGTTAGAAGTATGTCTCTGAACCTGCCTCCTCCTCCTCCTCCTCCTCCTTCTTCTCTGTCTCTCTCTCTCTCTCTCTCTCTCTCTCTCTCTCTCTCTCTCTCTCTCTCTCAACCTAACCTGGATGGACTTCTGGGGAACCCTGACATCTGGCTGCCTCGTGCACCAGCCTCCTCCCAGATATCACCAACCCTCTCAGAGGCCCCTCTGGCAGCTGACAGAGGTGTCTAAAGCTGGAGCTGGTACCTATACTTTGGAAATGCCTGGCTACTTGGAACAAAATTTCATCAACTGGCCTATATGGCCAAAGCACCATCATTGCTGTGACCAACTGAAATTAAAAAAGCTTTGTGGTCCAAAGAGCCCATTGGGGCCTCACTGGGGATTGGGCCTTCTGAATGTCTTTTGGGAAACAGACCTCTTAGGAGTTTACTAGTCCCAGAAAAAAAATGTATCATTATGCATAAAATTGGGTGGATTTTAGGAGGCTTGTGGATGATGGTCTGAATCCACAATAGCAACCATAGTTGAAACTTGAACCGTAGAGATTTTGACTTGGGATCTGAAGAGCAAGCCCACAGGAGATTTCAGCAGTGCACACCTACAGTCACATGCTTCCCAACACCATCGAATTAATTCCCTTTTCTACATTCAAAAGCTTCCATATTGACATTACTGGTTTGGTTGGGAAGCAGAATGAATGGCCATCCTCGTGAAAATGGCAGTCCTATTTCCTTTAAGAAGACACCCAATGAGTGATCCTTAGTGCAGCCAGCCAGTGCCCACCCCACAGCAAGGAGCCTGGCACCCCTGCCCCTCAGGGCTGCAGAGCAGGAGCAGAGCGGGCAGGTCTCACCTGGGCTTCTCAGAGGTTCTGGCGGCTGTCCTGGTCTCCGCTTCCCTCTGCTGGTTGCTCCTGCCAGGGAGGCAGCCCCTTTTTATAGCATGGCAATAAGGAAACATGCAATTGGATGATGGGTTTATAGAGAATGCAGAATTATGAAATCTAGTGGTGTCTTCCAGGGCTCTCCAAAGTAAATAATTGCCAATCATATTAATAAGCCATTTGATTAACAAGTTAAACAGATCAAAACCTGAGATGGGGATGTTACTCAAGACTTCATGGTTTCCTGAGCGGGGCTGAGGCCGGGGACCCACTTTCCAAGGTGACCTGGACGATCAAATTTGGAACCCGGGGAGAAAGCACCAGCCTTCTCATTTATATCTAGGCCCTGTTCCATTGCTGGCCCAGTTCTTTTTCTCCAACTAGAGGCATCTTGTTCCTAAAGCGTCAAAAACGGTCAAATCGCCTCTGATTTCCCTTTATTTGCGGGCTCTCTGTCTCACCATAACCCTGAGAGAGAGGGGTTGCTGCTCCTCCTTTGCTGATGAGGAAACTGAGGCCCAGTGGGTATAAGTGCCCAAAGCCACACACTCATTGGAAAGTAGTAACAATAAGTCAGCGTCAACAGATAACACTCGCCGAGCCCTTGCTGTGTGCCAAGACCACATTGATTTTCACAGGCAGCATCTCATGCATCCTCTCAGCTTGTGTGAGGTGGGAATGAGTACTCCCATTGTCACGGGGGAATCTGAGGCTCAGGGCATGAGTTGACACGTGCAGAGTTGTGCAGTGGATGTGGGGCTGAGGCTGTCTCACTCCTAACCTTTCTCTGAGTCCCTGTGCTCCATGTTCACTGACTTGCTTTCCCACATCTGTGAATTTCATGCTGTCATGAAGGTTGATGGGAAAGGTCTCATATTCTCAGAAAGTCTTTCCAGCTTCCTAGGCCTGAGGGGTGCTGTGGCATCTTAGTTTTTACCTTTACCCTCTCTTCTTCCCTTCCCCGAATGAAGTAATGAGGAATTTGTCCCCACAGTTTGGATCTTGGCAACCTATTTGACAGATGAAAAAACTGAGGCATAGAGAGATCAAGTTCTTAGACCAGTGAGAGCAGATCTTGCCCTGCAAAACCCAACACCTTATTAAGCAATAGAAAGAAAGGAGGAAATGCACATTTATTGAGCTCCTACTATGTGCTGGGTGCCCTCCATACTTTAACCTCGTCTTCCTCAGAAGTGGTTGGTATTGTTGTCCCTCAAATATTATAGAGGGACACTAAGGTTCAGAAATGGTGACAAGGGGCACAAAGGTGAGCTGTGGATAAGTAGTGGGTCAGAACTTGTCCCTGGGTCTTGCCACTCCTGTCATCAGTGAACCACTCTGCTTTCCCTCCTGCCAAATCCTCCCAGGAGTGGCTACCCCTTCCCGTGAGAGTCCAGCGAGGCCTCCATGGGGCCAGGGCCCTGGCTTGAGCTCAATTACTCATTCAAGCTAAATTATTTCCAGAGCTTGTGTCTTATCAATCATCCTTAAAGGGGTTCCTTTTTTTTTTGTTTTGTTATCTTGGTACAACTCTCTGGATTGGGTCTGATTGCTACTATCTGCGGGAAAATGGAGGCAGGTAAGTCAAGGGGACTGATTCAAGCTTTCCAGCCAGTTACTGAACAGGTGACAGACGTTGGTTTGAAGAAAGAAGGCTGCATATGTCTGATGGCAGAAAGGGATGGATTTGGATACAGATGTTCTCTGTCCTTGACTCCTGCAACTTGGGGTATCTGTTGCCCCATAAGGGCACAAGACACTTTCCAGAACCCACCAGAACTATGTTCTTCTCAATTTCTCTTGGACTCTCATACTCTACCAACATGGGGACTTTTCTAGACATGGGGCAGGAAACCTGGCTTTAATTCATTATATATGTTATTCTTGATGTCTCCTGTGCCCTGAGTTTTGAAATGGAAAAACCCAGGTTTGAAAAAAATATAAAACAATCAACCCACAGTAAAATTGGCTTATCATCCTTGGGTGTGTAGCTCTATAAATTTTTAAAAATATATATTTTATTGATTTTTCACAGAGAGGAAGGAAGAGGGATAGAGAGCTAGAAACATCGATGAGAGAGAAACATCGACCAGCTGCCTCCTGCACACCCCCTGCTGGGGATGTACCCGCAACCAATGTACATGCCCTTGACCGGAATCGAACCTGAGATCTTTCAGTCCGCAGACCGACGCTCTATCCACTGAGCCAAACTGGTTTTGGCAACTCTATAAATTTTAATGCACATGTAGCTTTGTCACCACCATCATAACCAGGGAATCGAACATTTCCTTCACCCCCAAACACCTTCATGCTGCCTTTTTCGACTCACTCCACCCCTCACCCCCTGGTGAACACTGGTCTGTCCTATGTCACTACTGCTTTGTCAAAGGCCCGGTTGCTGGAAACTCAAGAACCTTCTGCTTCCGAGGTTGGCCCTTCTTGAAGCCAAGGTGCTGCCTGTTCCATTGCCCCAGGCAGGGCAAGGATCAGGGGCCATCAGGAAACATGGAAGGACAGGCTGCTGGCACTTCAAGTCAGTGCTTCCCACGTTGGTGACGTCAACGCCTTCCCAGCGTGTTTCTCAGAAGCTGTAGGCGGTGCCCTCTCCTTCCTAGGTATCTGACTGATTGTGGTTGGAGCCTTTCTTGGGGGTGCTTTGTGAACCGAGAGGCCCATTTCTAAAGGGCAGAGTTAATCTTCTCAAGGGGCCCTGACCCACTCACGGTCTATTCTCCAAAACCTGGGAGTGTCGGGACATTGGTTCTGTTCCCAGAGCAAGATCAGGTGGGAATCGAGTGTAAGGGAGGCTGAGTTTGGGGGCCTTGGAAACCCCAGTGGTTTTCTTGGGGGACAGAAGGCAAGAAGGGTTCACGGGGAGCTACATGCCCCAACTTCGATGAGAAAATATGTTTGCTTATGACAATTCCACTTACCTTGAAGATTAATCTTCTCTCTTATATTTACAGCTAATAAAAGCTTTTCATGGGACACTAGAGCTTTTCTAACAACTGTGGGAACACTGAGGCTCAGGAAGGACAGTCAGCTGCCCAGGCCACTTAGGCAGGAAGAAGTGGACTCAGACAGTCACTGGGGCTGTCTGGCTTTAGCGTTTGTAACTTCAAGAGCAAATTTGTGTCACAGAGACTTCAGGTCAGAAAGTGCTGAGAAATCAGACAGCACTGAGTTCAAAACCCAGCTCAGCCGATGACCGCGGGCAAGATGCTTCTCCTCTTCCAGCCTCGGTATCCTTGCCTGCAACAGGGAGCTGGCGGCACCTAGCTCCCAGGGCTGCAGATAAGGTGAAATGGGGAAACAAATGCAGTGCACAGCCCAATAGCTGGCACAGTCAGACCTCTGCAAAGGGAGGGCATGAAGTTACGGGGCACAGATAATTTCTGAGCATTTAGGGCTGAATTTCTGCTTAAATCACTCTCCACTCCAGACCCCAGTCTCAATACAAAGGTCCATTGTGCAATGAGCTCTTCTAGGAGAACACAGTGTGTCCACAGCTCTGGGAACCTCACACTGAAACAATGTATGAAACGGGAGGAGGTCCCTTGAGGACGAAGGTCCCCTGGCCACCGCTGGAGGGGTCAGGAGGAAGGCAGACTAAAGCCAAGTTGGCCAAGAGATCAGGCAACCTCATTGGAGGGTGGGGCCCACCCCTCCCATGTTTGCTCTTTCATCATGATCAGGAAGAACCCCACAACCTCAAGGCCGCCAAGGGGATTCATCTGGGTGAACATGGGCGTTTAGGGTTGCAAATCCCCGCTGAAGCATTTCGGATTAGGGAGTCTGAATTGAAAGATGGGGACGTGAGTCTCTCTTGCCCCTGTTCTCAACTCTGAGATGTTGACACTTCCTTATTTGAGCTTCTTCTCAATTCAGCTGAACGTATATTTCATCACATTCGTGTGTGTGTGTGTGTGTGTGTGTGTGTTGCGGGGGGCTGATGTTAGAAGAGAGGGAGGGAAGATTGGATGGGGAATTCACAGTGGTCAGGAGTATGGGCTCCAGAGTCTGGCTGCCTGAGTGCAGTCAACTTGGCCATTTCATCACTGTGTGACCTTGAGCAAGTAGCTTTCTCTCTCTGAGTCTCTATGTCCTTATGGGGTAAAATAGAATAAAACTTCGTGGGGTTGCTGTAAGAATTTGGTGAAATGCTGATGTGAGCCTCTGGCACCAGGCTTGGCACATGCCAAGAGCTTAATATGTGTGTGCTACTATTATTAATAGGTGTGTTATTTCCCCTTGAGTTCTCAATCGGCTTTTCCTACCCTCAGGTGGAGGAGGGTGAGAATTCCGATTTAATAATTGAATAGACATTAATTAAATAAAAAATGAATTAAATGACACTAAGTAAGCGTACCCTATGGAAGAATTAATAGTCATTAATAAAAAATAATTAACAGTGAATTAAATGACATTAAGTAAGCGTACCCTATGGACTTAGCATATGTTAAACATCCTGCAAGCTGCTTTTCACGTACTCTGACAAACGTCCTGCATGGTCAATATTTTTATTTATAATTTTTTTGTTAAATATAACCTAAACAAGAAAAATACACATCAGTGAATAGCTCAATGAATGATCACAAACCGAGCATCCTCCCCATAATCAGCACTCCGATCCAGAAACAGGACGTTGCCTCGCTTGAGTCCCTCCCAGTCGCTCAGCCACTCCTCAGGGGTAACCTGTATCTTGGCCTTGAACAGCGTGGATGAGCTCTGCTGTTTGGCTTCACGTACATGGGAGATGCAACATGAGCTCTTTTGTATCTGGTTTCCTTAGGTGTGTGTGAGATGCATCTATGTGGCCATGTCATTTCTGTAGAGCATTCTGCTGGGTGACTACCCCCACAAGATCTCCTGTTTATGCATTCTTTTGATGGGCATTTAGGGTTTTCTTTTACTTTGGGGGGCAATATGACCACTGCTGCTATGAGCATCTTGTACACGTCTTGTGGTGCCCATGCACACGTGTTTCTGTTGAGCACAGACCTAGAAGTGGTGGAATGGTCATGTTGCACGTTA